AGTGAGTTAAGGTTATTTTTAAACTTATTTAAACTTGGAAAAGGCCAAGAACTTTCAAGCTAAATACTACACTGTAATACAACATTTACACGAATGCAGCTGTGAAATGTAAATGAAATATAAAAAGCTAATATCCTGCTTTGTGTGATTCATACACAGTGTGAAACAGGAGTAGTGATGTGCAATACCACTTAATTCCTATCTGATCCAATACCAAGTAATACCCAGGCTGGTATTGCCGATACCAATACTTTTTACATACAGTGCCTTGCGAAAGTATTCGGCCCCCTTGAACTTTTCGACCTTTTGCCACATGTCAGGCTTCAAACATAATTTTTTGTGAAGAATCAACAACAAGTGGGACACAATTATGAAGTGGAACGAAATTTATTGGATATTTCAAACCTTTGAACAACAATCAGCCGTTTACTGCACAAATCTGGCCTTTATGGAAGAGTGGCAAGAAGAAAGCTATTTCTTAAAGATATCCATAAAAACTCTCGTTTAAAGTTTGCCACAAGCCACCTGGGAGACACACCAAACATGTGGAAGAAGGTGCTCTGGTCAGATGAAACCAAAATCGAACTTTTTGGCAACAGCTCATCACCCTGAACACACCATCCCCACTGTCAAACATGGTGGTGTCAGCATCATGGTTTGGGCCTGCTTTTCTTCAGCAGGGACAGGGAAGATGGTTAAAAATTGATGGGAGGATGGATGGAGCCAAATACAGGACCATTCTGGAAGAAAACCTGATGGAGTCTGCAAAAGACCTGAGACTGGGACGGAGATTTGTCTTCCAACAAGACAATGATCCAAAACATAAAGCAAAATCTACACTGGAATGGTTCACAAATAAACATCTCCAGGTGTTAGAATGGCCAAGTCAGTCTCTCGATGTGCAAAACTAATAGATACGTACCCCAAGCGACTTACAGCTGTAATCGCAGCAAAAGGTGGCGCTACAAAGTATTAACTTAAGGGGGCTGAATAATTTTGCACGCCCAATTTTTCAGTTTTTTATTTGTTAAAGGTTTGAAATATCCAATAAATTTCGTTGTTGATTCTTCACAAAAAATTACAGTTTTATCTTTATGTTTGAAGCCTGAAATGTGGCAAAAGGTCAAAGTTCAAGGGGGCCGAATACTTTCGCAAGGCACTGTATTTTATTTCTAGTTTAATGTGACCTCCCTCTCCCATTTCTGTATTTATGAGAGAAATAAAGAGTAGGCTGTAGCCTTACCAATTCAAAATAGCTCCATAATGACAAGACATCAAACTACTGTCCGTCTATTCTTTAATTATAATAGAAATCTCCTGCTCAGAACTGCCGCTTCATAACATCATCTTATTATTTTGACTTAATCTCAGATGTTTAGCGAAGTTTGCGGTGTTGCCAAAGTATTTCACTGTCTTTGCACACACAGCGTCATTATTACCTTCACAGCTGAAATACAGCCAGACGTGACTGCTTTTACAGTCAGCCAGAGTCAGTATTCAGTCGCAGGAAATGTAAAGGGCTGCAGCGGCTCACTTCAAAGAAGCTCTGTCACAGAGCCGTAGCTCAAGCATGACTGACAAACGGAAGGAAAGGTAGTTCCTATGAACCAAGTATAATTAGACCATCCTGGTGACAGTAAGATACATATAATTTCACTCACTCCAAATGATTGATTTTAGATATCGATCCTTTGACATGAGTATCGATCCTGGAGCAGGAAACGTTGCTATCAGAAATATGGATACTTTAGGATCGATCCGCACATCGCTTAACAGGAGGGACAGTGTGCCACGACAACGGCAGCAATGTAGATTAAAATATATCTACTTTTGTGTTCACTACTTTGTTGAATCACAGAAGATGAAAGTAGTTAGTTCATACAGTCTATACCATTTACTGAGCATGCTTATTTACATAAGTGACAGAAATATGTTAAATATTTTGAATTTGTCAAGTCGGGACTGGCTGTATTTTCAATTTTTGGTCATTTATACAATAAATGCGTTGATTTACAATATTTGTAGGCCTACTGCACATTGACATGTGTATGTAGTTACATTACGATTTTTTTTAAAAAAAAAGGACTTTTTGACTAATAGCTACAATCATCTACCTTGTTGACAACAACTAACCTTACATTGAAAAGTGTGTCCCTCTTGAAAACACAATGTTTTAAAATTCAGATTAGATTTAACTTTCTAACGTTACTTTCAGTAATCCCATGGTACCTGGGTTAATTGATCTTAATGACTAATGTGATTTTATGACTTCAGATAGAACAGCCAGGTGACTATTACTGATTGCCATGTAAGCTATTCATTTAATAAATCTCCAATAAACTCAGAAAACAGCATGTTAAGTGGTTTGTGCCTGTGTGCCTTCTTACTCTACAGCATGGTTTATTGTGTTGTGTGGAGATGCTGCAGTTGGTCAGAAAAAGGAGTATGAATGTATGGTTTCCCAGCTGACATGGAGGGGAGGAAAAAATGGTTGACTCAGGTCAACAGGAGCGACCTTAAGAGGCCAACGACAACAAAATATGTGAGGTACTTTTTTTCAATCTGGTTTCAGGAAGTACCACAGCACTGAAACTGCCCTCCTTAAAGTCACCAGTGACCTTTTAATGTCCGCTGATGATGGCATGTGCTCAGTCCTAGTACTCCTGGACCTTAGTGCTGCTTTTGACACCATTGATCACAACATCATGTTAGACAGACTGAGGCACTGGGTGGGGATCTCTGGTACGGCCCTAGAATGGTTTTCATCCTACCTGTCAAATAGGAAGTTCTGTGTGTCTGTGAACAACTATGTCTCCTCGTTCTGTCCAGTTAAATATGGTGTGCCTCAGGGGTCGGTTTTAGGACCCATTTTATTTTCCTTGTATCTGCTTCCCCTTGTACACATTATTCAGAGACACACAGATGTATTTGCCGGTCAGATCCACAGACCCTGGAATGCTGAGTTCACTTACCTCACTTACCTGACTCGCCTCTGTGAAGTCAAAAATTGGATGTCAAATAATTTCCTCCACCTCAACTCAGACAAAACTGAGATCCTAGTAATTGGGTCCCAGCAGATGGCAAAGCAAATACTGCCATCTGCTAGTTCCCTAGTGAATCATGTTAAGCCTGTTGCAAAGACTCTTGGTGTTTGGTTTGATAGTAATTTAAATTTTGAGCAGCACACCACAAAGCTAGTGCAATCATGTTCTTACCAGCTTAGAAATATATCTAAAATACGATCTATGTTAACTTTTAAGGACATTGACGCTCACTCTCACCTTGTTATATTTCTGAACCTTTAGTCCCATACGCACCAGCACGTACCTTGAGATCCTCGGGCAGAGGTCTGCTGTCTGTTCCAGAGTCTCGACTGAAAACTAAAGGGGACAGAGCATTTGCTGTCAGGGCCCCAAGGCTCTGGAACAGCCTGCCCGAGGAAATCAGGTCGGCTGAGTCAGTGAACTCTTTTAAGTCCCTTCTTAAAACATACTTTTATAGGAGAACCTTTCCCGATTTTATTTTATATTTTTTTAAATATATTTTATGTTTATTTTAAAACGTGTATTCTAGTCTTATAAGTGTTTTCTTGTTTTTAGCATGTAATTGTTTTTACACTTGTGAAAGCACTTTGTAACTGGTATTTGTGCTCTATAAATAAAGATTGTTATTATTATTATATTACACAAAGAAAAAACACATCACTGGCTTAATGTTTGGTTTATTAAAAACATCACAGCAGATTATCTTCACGCTCCACTGAATCCCCCTGTGATTCTTGTGTTGAGAAAGGGAGAACAAAAGAGAGAAAAGGTTAAACAAACCTACATATCTGTAAAGATAGTTTGAAAAAAATTGCAACCTATTTAACCTTTACTTTTAACCTTGCCTGTTTCAATCTCTCCCAAAATCTCCCACCCCTCAAAAAATATGTAGGTTAAATAAACTAACATGCTTTAATGCACATGTTAACTTGATTCAGTTTGATTCAGCATTTTCTGTTGCAGCTCCGCTAACATTTGCTGCACATTTCCAGGAACTATTGAGATGCTCCATGATCCGCCATTGCTGTGAAAAAATGGTCCATTGGAGTGAATAGAGATGACGCAACTCTTTCTCCAAAGGTCACTGGCAGTATCTAGTTAAGGACTAATAGCCAGTAGGGCGGGCCCTACTCTGGAACTTCAGCTCTATTTGTTCCCCTTACCAGCTTAGCAACATGGACTGGAGCAAGAGTTTCAGAGTGTTGAGTTATTAATCTGAAACAAATTTATCTTGCATCCATAAAGTTTTAACTGAGCTCTGTCTCTACATCACAGGAACAACTTCATGTCCATTGACTGCCTGGAGGGTAGCTAGTGTTTGGAAGGGAGAGGAGAGGCAGCAGGCAGATGTCTTGTCACTGTGTGCCGAGTGTTTTTCCATGTGATGGATGGGCGTGTCGGACTAGCCGCTAGGCGAGCATTATGACCATAGAAGTGGATGTAGTCACCGTGAAGTCACCCCTTGATTTGTGGACTGCCATTTTGAAGCCCCTAGTTTGGCAGACAGGGTGCCGGCATGTTTTTTGCAACCAGCGGCAACGGACGGAACCATATTTGGACAAGACGGTGGAGCTAACGGCCGTGTGTAGAGCTAGCTAACTTGCTTAGCTAGGTGCATCTGTAATTCACATTAACTGTCATTTTAACTGGGATGACAACCTTGTCTAGAGAACAACAGCCTTAAAACTAAATGTACTCACCAGAGAAAGTGAACAGCCAACTCCTAATAAGCTTTTTCAACAGCGCTGGTTAAATTTACACAGTGAAGTGGGTACAAGTCACTCTAGCCTGATTGACAGGTCGCCATGGTAACGACTTGTCAATCACAGATAATCCTGCCTCTGCTTTGTGGTTTATTTTCCTCTAAATGAGACCATAATTTACTAAATGGACATGGACATCATGTTGTGTTGAATAAGACCCGAATAGTGATTGAGGCCAAAAACTCATTCAGTTCTCAAACCGGAAGCTTCCCGCTTGATTATGACGCTTGTTTTGCTGTGATGTCAAGGCAAAGCGGAAGAAAAGGCTGGGCTACAAATGAGCTGTTTTTAGGGAGTTCAGAGCAGTGTTTTCTGTGGAAGATGGGAACTCCCTTTGGGTAGGACTTTAGGCTTTTTCACTTTGCAAACTTATTACATGCACAAAAAGATATAACTCAACAAAGGAGTGGGGAAAGGCCAAAAAGCATAATATGACCTCTTTAAGTTTACATACATTATTTGTTCTATCTAAATGTAAAATTGAATGGTTCTGTCAAGAGTTGTATATTGACCTGGCATTTTAAATTCTTCATTGTTGTAAGAAAATGTAGCGGGCTATTTGTGTAAATAACTAGCCAGGATGGAGTACCATCAATCCTACATGTAAGGTTTCTCATTGTTCATGAGGACTTCAAGAAGGACTGTATTCACTAGTTTAAGATGATGTGTTGTTCAGGTGGCGATTAGAACGACCACAAAGCAGTCTTCTTTTCGTTTCTTTAATTTCTGTTGCCTTCAACAGTAGCCACACAGACATTTGTGATTCCAGGCAATTATGTGTGTGGTCTTCCAAGAACAAATGAGCAATAACAAGAAACATTCTCCCTGCATCACATGAACACAGTTATCTAATGATTTCGTCTTTACACTTACTTATGATCAGTCAAAGATGTTCACACAAGATGAGCTACGGGCAATTATGGGAAGCTCCTGGAACAAGACCACCTGGTTTCAGATGAGAATACAATCTTCCAGTACTACTGTGAAGTAGAGCCCTGCGCGGGACTGTTTTCTTAATCCCACTCCCGCTGATTTTGCAACCCGCTGAAAAAAGGACACAAATGTTTGGGCCATGCTAAACATTCAGAATAACCGACACAAATCATTGCATTCAATTAAACATAGAACAGGCTCATGTAAAGCACCACACATACACACAACAAATAACTTATTACTAACGTATTTTTACTAGCCCAACACAACTGTCAGCTTTTAACCTAGTTGTACAACAAATTATAGGTTATTCATAACATGCACAATAACTTACACCTATAATTGACAAATAGTAGTCTAACGCAAACAAGGCATATAAAATACAATAATTAAATAACATGTAATACTTATGTACTCATCCACTCAGTGATTTCTTAGTAAAGTACTGCCCATGGGGACCAGGAACTCACTGACTTGTGACATTGTGGACCTGAAGAAATGCAGAATTAGGCAAACATGAATGCATTACATGATAACCTTAAAACTTCTTACCACAAAGATCAGTGTGATGACCAAGCTGCATGCTCTTTCTTCTGTGCTTTAGGCCATAAAAGAAAAATAAACACCACATCAATATTTTTTACTGGTTAAGTGCAAGAAAGTTAACTTTAAATTAATTCCACTTATACACATAAAACAAGGTTTTCATATTTAACCCTGTATCGTGCAAGAACTGTAATACTACTTTTACAATTAAGTGATGGTTCTCATTTTGACCCATTATAGAACTAAAAATGACTTAACTCCCAAATCTGATAATCTCTTGTATAAAACGCTGCTTTCTATATTATGTTTGTTACACTTCGGTAAACATGTTCAACTGTTTCAGAGTTCCCACAATCACAAAGCCCATTAGGATGCTTTCCTAATATATTTAAAGACTGAATTAACCAACAATGTCCAATCCTCAACATACAGATTTTAACAGAACCCTTCTAGATACACAGCAATGCCTGGCTTTTTTAACCTGAGTTGCAAAGAGCAATACTGTCTCCCCTTGGTCTCATTTTCCAATCTTTGTAATTCCCCTTTCAATGCCCTGTTTATTTTTTTCTTTTAGTTCCACTCTTCCCATTGGTATATTTTTATCTGTCTCTACCTTCATTAGGCTTGAAAAAAAGTTAAATCAATATCCAGTTCTTGTATTAACCAATAAGGAATAGGTAGTCGCATTGTGCTGTGTTTTCTTGCTCCATTCTCAATTCTCTTGTCCACTGATTTATGCAATCAAAAACGAATTTGTTTCTTATATTTTTGCAAGAATCCAGTGCCCCTTGCATAAGGCATCTAGATGGGAATGCTAAATTAGATCCACTCAATTTTACCCAATACTGCAGGCCCAACTTAATACGCCTTAGACATAAGGGCAGTTCAACTATTTCAATGATCAGAGCAGGAATTGGAGATTTGCTGAAAGCTCGTCAACAGTCTCAGTGCCTTAGCCTGCAGATTATCTAACTTCCTTAGCACCGACTGGACAGCAGAGCCATTAACAAAACAACCATAATCAAGTAAAGCTCCTATCATTGCCTGATATACTAAATGCATGGACGCCCTCTCCTCCCCCTAGTCACATCCCGCCAGACTTCTCATGATGTTTAACAAAATGTTCCTAACATGAACATCCCAAGTCTTTCATTCTTCAAACCAGACAGCCAATAAATTTTAAATCTTTTACACTCTCTAGAGGGGAACCATACATATACAATCCAAAACCAGGTACCTTTCTTTAGTAGCCAAATGTCATTAATTTAGACTTTGCCGCTGAGACTTTAAATCTCCAATTATCTGCCCAATCCTCCACAGTAACTTAAGCCTTTTGAATTTGTTTTAAAATAAACTCTTTTTTTCTACCTAGTTTCTAAATGGCCTCATCACCTGCATATAAAGACTGCCCAAACCCTCTTCCAATGTTACTAAATATATAATTTATCATTATATAAATAAGACTGGACTTATGACACTTCCTTGAGCGGTACCATTTTCTAATTTGACACATTAAGATTCAAATCCTCTCACTTGCACTTGTATTGTACTATTCATTAAAAAATGTTTAATCCAATTTAACATTCTACCTCCTAGACATACATTTTAATCATCAGTCCCTCCTTCCACAAATCGTCATTAGCTCTCTTAATATCTAAAAATACACATACCGCCATTTCTTTATTGTTAAATGCCTTCTTGATATCTTGATTTAAATCTGCTACTGACTCCACTGTTGACCCTCCCTTTCTAAAACCATTTTGAAATTCAGTAAATAATCCTTTACTTTCTAAAAAGTAAACTAATCTATTTGTTATCATTCTTTCCATGATTTTGCAAAGCACTTATGATAATGCAAAAGGCCGATAAGAATGGATCACTTGCATTTTTGCCTGTTTTCAAGATCGGAATTTATAACTGCATGTTTTCATTCTACTGGCAACCCTTTTCCCACACAGTATTAATCAGAGCAAGCTCTTTAGTATTAAATCGTCCGGATGTTTCAGTAGTTCAAATGTGGTGTTCCCCATCACCATTTCTGCCCCCATCTGGCACAACATGGTACATAACTACTCATACTGTACACCAGTTCCTATGATAATCCATCTCTCCATGGAGTAGTGTCTGTACCAGAATTAATGGCATCCCTCAATAATTTTGTGCAGAAAAACAAACTAGTTGGATATTCTTTATCAGAATTCCTGTTCAGCTTCCACTTATGAACTCACAACAGGTTAGTCCTTTTCACACTGCTCTCAGTTATATTACCAAAACCATGCACTGCTTGAAAAACCTCAAACATACATGTCTGCTTTGTCTCTGTTGGTTCCCCTTCGAGGGAACTCGAACTGCGTCGGTTACGACACTATAGGGGAACGCCTCTAGGCGAAGCAGGTCTGAACGTGAATGAAATCACTCCAATCCTATTGGCCTGTTGCTAGAACGGTAAGGTGTGACGGAATAACCGGAGGAGTATAAAGCACACCTGTACACACTCATCATTAGCTTTTTTTATTCAGCAGGCGCTCTGTATGTTGTTTGAAGAAAGCTCCAGTCCTACAAGCAGTATGTCTTACCTGAAGAAGAAGTCTACCAGCATGTCCGGCAACCAGATGTACAGAAGGTGTGTTTTTTCTTGCCCTCGGTACATCACGGATGGAGATTCTCATGAGATGTGTCTCTCATGTTTGGGAATGGAGCACGCACGGGCAGCTCTCGAGGGGGCTGCCTGCGCCCGTTGCGAAGCCCTTTCCGTGCGGGTACTGAGGTCCCGCATGGCTCTCTTTTCCGAGGATGGCCGGATGTGTTTTCCCCGTGGCGCGGGCCATGCGGCCGCTGAGGCGGCCCGGCGGCTTCACTCATGGGTTCACAGCGTGATCTGTCGGAGGATTTCGGGACGGCTGAGGCTTTTTCCCGACCTTCATCCGCTGGCTCCGACGCTTCCTTTCCTCGTTCGGGGTGCCCGTTCTCGGCTTCTCCCGCTCGCGGTTTGGATCCGGAGACGCGCAGCAATCCGACTCCGAGGAGGCGGACCTGCTCAGCGCAGTGGACGATGACTTCCGGGTGTCGGGGCGGCGACATCTGGCCGCGCCCGACTATGACGTGCTGCTGGAGGTGGTAACTAGAGCCGTGGCTAAGCTCAACACCAAGAGACAGGAGGAGCAGACACCACAGGCTAGTGGTAAGCTTGATGAAAGGTTTCTTAAGCACCACGCACCACCTCCACGCCGATCTCTTCCTGATTTACATGATGAACTGAGTAAATCATGGGGCAGACCCTTCTCTACATGGCTTTCCACACCCCGATCACTGAACTACAGTAATGTGATGGGGGTTAGGGACCGTGGTTATGGGAGGATGCCTCGGGTGGAGGATGAGCTTGCGAGCTATCTCTCCCCTCGACTTGCGTCCTCCCTGGAGAAGCCGGCGTTACCATCCAAACCATGTCGCACCACATCCACGCTTGTGGGGAAGGCGTACATGCCAGCGGGCCAGGCAGGTGCGAGCTTGCACACCACGGTGCTTCAAGCCTACCAAGCCAACCTGCTACAGGAGATGGTTCAGAGGGGGGGTCCCTCCGAGGAAGATCTGGCGGAGCTTCGCAGAACCACGAAGCGTTAGACGCAGTGCGAAGCGTTCCGCCAGTACCTCCCTCGCCGGTCTGGACCCAAGGCAGCTGAGGCTGCCAGGCGTAGGTCCCTTCCCTCTACGAGCTCCTACGGAGAGGAGGGAAGCAGAGTGTCGCTTCTCGGGGGCCCCCCGAGGAGCTGGGGCAGCGAGACGGCGCTCTCACCCTCAGCCGTCTGAGAGACGCGATCTGAGGACCGTCATCCAGTCCCGACGGAGCTCAGGGAAGACCGGGGTAGGGGAGTCTTTCTCCCCTCCCGCACCCCCCCCACCCCCCCCGGAGGCCGACCGAGGTCCCCTCCGCCGTGGCAACAGGTGATGTTATCCCGCCGTTTACACGTTCAGGACGCACCTGCCACCATCGAGTCCGCACCGTACTGCCTGCCCCGAGGGTCTGCAGACGGACGGCATCCCGACTCACTCACCGTGGATCTTCGGCGGCTCCCCCCTGCCGTTCTGGGGCTTCAGGGGTCCACCAGAAGATCACACGAGACACCGACCACCAGCCCCGAGGGGCTGGTTCCGTTGGCAGTCTTTGCAGACGCTTGGCGGAGCCTGACGAACATTTCTCCGCGGGTCCTGCGCACTGCCATAGATGGGTATCGACTACAGTTCATAGCCCGCCCTCCAAATTCAACAGAAGAGAGGGGGTGGTTTGGACTGTGGTCCGCCCGGAGCAAGGTCCGGTGTTGGGACAGGAAGTTCGTACTCTGCTGAGGAAAGGGGCCGTGGAACGTGTCTCCCCCCCAGACAGAGACTTCATAGTCCCCAAGAAGGACGGAGGGCTGCGTGCCCTATTTTGGATCTGCGGGTTCTAACCGGTCTCTGAGGAGATTCAGGTTAAAGATGCTCATCATCCCCGCCACCGTGACGCACATCCAATCTGAGGATTGGTTCGTCACGATAGATCTAAAGGACGCCTATTTCTAGGTCTCCATCCGTCCTTCTCACAGGAAGTTCCTGAGGTTTGCCTTCGGGGGTGTGGCTTACCAGTATCGGGTTCTTCCATTCGGCCTGGCACTTCCCCTAGCACATTCACCAAGTGTATGGATGCAGCACTGGCCCCGCTGAGGCTCCGGGGCATCCGGATTTCAACTTCAGCGATGACTGGCTCATCCTAGCCCAGTCTCGAGAGTTGGCGGTTCGGCATCGAGATGTCGTTCTGGCTCGTCTGCGGCGTTTAGGGCTGAGGCTCAACGCAAAGAAGAGCGTGCTGGCGCCCACCCAACGTTCCTAGGGGTTGCATGGGATTCGACAACGATGCGGGCACAATTGTCTCCGGCACGTGTCGACACCATATTGGCTGCCGTGAAAGGGGTGAAGTTAGGCCACGCCATCACTATGAAACACTTTCAACGAGTGTTGGGTCTCCTGGCGGCTGCGTCCAGCGTAATACCATCTGGACTGCTGCACATGAGACCCCTGCAGTGGTGGCTAAGGAACAAGGGTTTTTCCCCGAGGGAATCCTCTCCGTCTGGTTTGGGTTACGCGCAAGTGTCTTCGTTCCCTATCAGTTTGGAAGGAAACTTGGTTCCTGTCCCAGGGGCCCGTGCTGGGAGGGTCTTGTCGCCGGCTGGTTATTTCGACAGACGCCTCCCTCACGGGCTGGGGCGCGGTCATGGATGGCCGCTTTGCAAGGGGATCCTGGCTGGTGCATCGATCCGAGTGGCATATCAACTGTCTCGAGATGTTGGCGGTGTTCCAGGCTCTAAGGAGTTTCCTGCCCGATCTCCAAGGCCACCACGTCCTGGTTCGTTCCTCCTGTGGTCCCAGCAGAGGTTACTATCGCTCAGGGCGATGTATTTCCTGGGGACACAGAATCAGGGAGCAGACCTGCTGTTGAGGCAGGGGCTGAGGCCCGGGGAATGGAGACTTCACCCCGAAGTGGTGGAGCTCTTGTGCGAAGAGTTCGGCCCCATAGACGTGGATCTGTTTGCGTCTCAAGAGACTACGCACTGCCCGCTATGGTTTCTCTCGTTCCTCCAGCCCCGTTGGGTCTGGACGCCATGGTACATTCGTGGCCGAGGCTACGTCTGTACGCTTTTCCCTCAGTCGCTCTGCTCCCGGGGTTCTGGAGCGGGTCCGCCAGGACTATGTCGGCCTACTGCTCGTAGCCCCGTTCTGGCCAACCCGGGTGTGGTTCTCGGACATCATGTCGCTCCTGGACGGCCCGCCGTGGCGGGTCCCTCTGAGGAGAGACCTGCTGTCCCAGGCGCAGGGCCGGGTTCTTCACCCTTGCCCCGCCATATGGCGACTGTGGGTCTGGCCCCTGAGGGGGCACAGTACCTAGAGGCGGGTCTAACAGCCGGAGCAGTCGAGACCCTCCTGAGCTCCAGGGCCCCGTCCACACGGAGGATGTACGGCCTGAAGTGGAGTGTTTTCTCCACTTGGTGTAGGGAGCGGTCGGTGGACCCTGTTACCTGCCCGGTGGTTCAGGTACTTGAGTTCCTCCAGGACCGGTTCTCTGCTGGTCTTTCCCCTTCCACCCTCAAGGTGTACGTGGCAGCTATTTCATCTTTCCACACCCCTCTGAGGGAGGGGTCCTTGGGGAAACTTCCCTTGGTTGTACTTTTCCTCCGTGGTGCCCGGAGGATGAGACCTGCGACTCGGTCCAAGGTTCCCCCTTGGGATCTGGCGTGGTTCTTGGGGCGTTGGCTGAGGCCCCCTTCGAACCCCTAGAGTCAGCTGAGGCTAAGCACTTGACCCTCAAGATGGCCTTTCTCCTTGCTATCACCTCTCTGAGGAGGGTGGGGGATCTCCAAGCGCTTTCGGTTTCCCCGCAAAGCCTGGAGTTTGCCCCGGGGAATATTAGGGCTATCCTGCACCCTCGTCCAGGATACATCCCTAAAGTGCCTTCTTGTGCGGCAGGGTCCACAGTGCTGCAGGCATTTCATCCTCCACCTCATGTGACGGCGGAGGACGGGAGACTTCATCTGCCTGCCCTGTCAGAGCACTGAGTATTTACACTCTGAGGTCCTCCCGTTGGAGGAAGGCTGACCAGCTGCTAGTGTGTTTTGGGTCTCCCAGGGCCGGGCTCCCTGCATCCAAACATACTATTAGCAACTGGATTGTTCAGACTATTTCCCTGGCCTATCAGGTGCGCGGTTTGCCTTCACCTGTGGCTGTGAGGGCTCATTCTACCAGAGGCAAGGCGGCCTCTCGAGCCCTCCTTTCCGGGGCCTCTTGCAGGATGTTGTTTAGCGGCTGGCTGCCACTCCGCACACATTCATTCGGTTTTACAGTCTTGACCTTCCTTCGGCACCTGGCACTCGTGCGCTCTCCTCTTAGTAGTGCCACTTTATTGCACACAGGGGCAGGCGGGGTTTTCGGCACGGTTTAGTGGGTATCTCGTTCCCATAGTGTCGTAACCGACGCAGTTCGAGTTCCCTCGAAGGGGAACGTCTCGGGTTACGTATGTAACCCTGGTTCCCCGAGAAGGGGAACGAGAGACTGCGTCGGCCCGCCGCACCTCTCTCCCCGCCTGAAGCGCCTGCTTCATAGTTTAAGCTAATGATGAGTGTGTACAGGTGTGCTTTATACTCCTCCGGTTATTCCGTCACACCTTACCGTTCTAGCAACAGGCCAATAGGATTGGAGTGATTTCATTCACGTTCAGACCTGCTTCGCCTAGAGGCGTTCCCCTAGTGTCGTAACCGACGCAGTCTCTCGTTCCCCTTCTCGGGGAACCAGGGTTACATACGTAACCCGAGACGTTACTGCCTCCACCCCACCTTTCTGTAAAACCGGAATTGGTTTCCTCTTATAAAGACTTGACATTCTATGCACAGCTGACGACAAGTATCAGACTCACACGGTGGGAATGGACTCACAGAAGCACAACTCGAGGTAGTTCAGGCAACAGATTTGTTTCAGAATGGTTCATAAAGAAACGAAGGTACCAAAAACACAAGGCAAGAATCAAAACTCAGGCAAAAATCAGGAGGAAACACTAGGTAAAGGTTGGAACTCTGTTACAAAGG